CTCCCCAGCGAGATATGGGGCTAGCCGTAGGGCCCAGGTTGCCCCCTCCCATCCAGTGCCCACGGCCACTTGCTCAAAGTTGCAGAAGAAGGCCTTGGGGTTGTCGGCGGGGGTCCATTTTACAAAGGCCCAACCCCGTAGTGGGGGTGCCATCTCCCCACGAGGAACTCATCAGTTTCTGCAGGAGTTGTTGCCGCACCCCCGCCTGCTCCTTAATAAAGTCCTGCACAGTCTTCTGCTGCTCAGCCTGCCAGGCGAGTAGAGCCTGTCTCTCCATCTGGTGGGATTGCTGGAAGGCCTGCAGCGTCTTCTGCATCTCCTCCTGCTGCTGAGTCTGCCACTGCAGGGTTCCCTCCATCTCTGGGTCACCAAACTGTAGCTCTGGCACAAAAGGATCTGTGACAAGCCTCCACATGTCACGGGGTGCATGGCCAGCCCCTTTTTTTCTGGGCCTCATTGCCCTCCTGAATAAGTCCAGGGAGACTTCAGCTCTGTGCAACACCCATGTCTTTTATTCTTTAAGCATTTTCCCACCACTCGTGTCCAACTATATACAATCCTTACAGGTTTCTTGCCTACTGCAGGCTGGGTCAGTAACCAGATAGAGGCCTTCCACCTCCCTCTGTGACGGACCCCTCTCTCTGCCTGCCCCAGCTCCTTCTGGCTCCTTCCCAGCCTTTGTAGCTCCTGGCCTCTCAGGCTGGCAGGTATTGCCAATCGCCAGGCAGACATAAGGCTTTTCAGCCAGCCCCAATCTATCCCCCTTGATTGGGGCTGGCGTGGCAGGGGCTGATTAGGTGTGTTTGCAGCAGAACCCTGCCACGCACCCACCTTGTTTGCCAGCAGGGTTGGAACCTGTAGATCTACCCACAGACTTCTGCCACTTTCCTTTGGGTTTGATTTATGTTTGAGGCTTGTGTAAAGACAGCATTTGAGTTAGAGATGCGGTGTTAGAGATGCAGAGGGGCATTGTTCTGCAATGTACATTGGCCAAACTGGACAATCTCTACACAAAAGAATATAAATGGACAGAAATCAGACGTCAAGAATTATAACATTCAGAAACCAGTCAGAGAACACTTCAACCTCCTTGGTCACTCAATTTCAGACCTAAAAGTGGCAATTCTCCAACAAAAAAACTTCAAAAACAGACTCCAACGAGAAACTGCAGAATTTGAATTAATTTGCAAACTGGACACCGTTAAATTAGGCTTGAATAAAGACTGGGAGTGGATGGGTCATTACACAAAGTAAAACTATTTCCCCATGCTAATTCACCCCCCCCACCCTGTTACTGACACCTTCTTGTCAACTGTTTGAAATGGGCTATCCTGATTCACTACAAAAGGTTTTTTTCTCCTGCTGATAATAGCCCACCTTAATGAATTGGTCTTGTTACAATTGGTATGGCAACACCCATTTTTTCATGTTCTCTGTGTCTGTATATATCTTCCTACTGTATTTTCCACTCTATGCATCTGATGAATTGGGTTCTAGCCCATGAAAGCATATGCCCAAATAAATTTATTAGTCTCTAAGGTGCCACAAATACTCCTCATTCTTTTTGCTGATACAGACTAACACGGCTACCACTCTGAAACCAGTATCCTACTAGCTATTCCCATTGCTGTGATTACATGGAGTAACAATATGGCCAGTACAATTGATCCCAGCATTATACAAGTCATTTTCTCAGTGCCTGGTCATTATGTGGAATGTCCTTTTTCTTTCTCCTTCAAATCCCCTTCTCACTTTTCCCCAAAGGGATTAATTGGCTTCTTTTTGCTGGATCAGCTGAGCTGAGTAGTTTCACCATCAGCAAACTCAGTGAGAAGCAAGAGCTGGAGTAGACAAAGAAAGAATTCTACTCAGAAGAGTGTAGCAATAGACTTCATTGTAGCTTTGAACAAAAATGTCCTTGAAATACCTTTTGGTAGGTTAACTGCTATGACTGGAGGAGCTAGCAAACTGAAAGGTCTCCTCAATGATTCTTACAGACTAATGAACAAATTTGATTAAGATTTGGCAGCTTTTCCTAATGTTCCCTGTAACTAGCAGTTCTTTCCAGGCAGTGCTGTCCTCCATGTTTGAAAAGAGAGCAGCCTAGTAATTAAATGATGAACGAAGGCAAATGTACTGATGAGCGTTTGGTGGTTAATTAAATGAAAGAAAGAGAATGTACAACAAAAATGCCCGTCTAATGTCCCTTGAGGCCCTGCCAAACTCCCCCTTCCCCATCAAGTTTATAATGGGAAAGGAGACACCTGCACAAATGGTGTTTTCTTGGTTGGCCCTTTGTGGTCGAAATTGCTGCTGTACCTCACCAGCCTGGCATATATAAGAAGGTAACTAATGATGATCTACACAAATCACCTTCTAATTCATAAAGTAATAGTGACATCTCCCAATGTAGCTCCATCATCTTAAAATATCCAGGCTTTCATAGGTGGCATGATTTTTTTAAACTTCAGTGTTCTGTTAGGATTTTCTTTCCCTTAAGTTATTGTTAAGCTTTTAGAACCTTAACACCATTGTCTCAGAATTTTCATTCTGATTATGCCTTGGTTAGAGTGAGATTCATTTACAGTGTCCAATGCTTACTTCCATAGGTATGGATTATGCTGCTGTCTGCAAAAGAAAGGGGATTTCATTGCATTACTTTTGTACTCCAAAGGCAGTAAGAAGCTAATCAGGAATACATCTGAATAAGATTCAACTGGGTGACGCAGCCTGTGCCTCAGTAAACAGCTTCACGTTATATACATGGAATGTTCAAACATTATCATCAAACAAAAGGTTTGGTGTTGCTGCTGAATTAGCTGAAAAAAGCAGCTGATATTACCTGAAGGCAATTGCTAATGGGTGGAGGGTCATCTTGGCATCTGCGGTACCACAGAGGCCAATAGGCAAGATAAAGATGCGTGTTTTTATGTAAGACCATTATAATTTTGTACAAATTTGAACTCATAAATAAAACTCTCTCCAGATCCAAGTTTCAAGGCAGAATAAATACCTGTAGAGACTTAGCCTCAAACAACTAATGGACAGAAATTTGCTGTTCAAATCCCAGAATTGCTGACAATGATTATTTCCTATTTTGCTGCTACAGTTAAGGTTGACAAACTAAGGGGGAAAATATAATGGTTTATTGAACTTCAGTAGAAGTTACTTGTGTGTATGGGCCAATTTAGATTAGTTACCAAAAATAATTGGGCGCTCAGACTATTAGAACGTGAGCTGTTCAGTGATTCTGGCCTCAGATGTACAATAAGAAATACCCCCATCAGTTTCAGTGCTAGTTTTTCTATGGAAAGATTTTTGTGTTTAGAAAAGAAACTGCAGCTCTGTAACTTTTAATGTAGTTTGGGGCTTGGGAAAAGGAGAAAAGCTGAATATAATGCAAGAAAAAAGCCCCCTGTTATTAGTATAGGGGGAAGAAAACATTAAGTATTATAGAGCAACACCAACTAGACAAAAGCAGGTAAGAAACTAAACATGCTTTGGATGAGCAAAACCAGCTCTGCGAGTGTGTGTTTAAGGCTTTGCCTCTGTGAAATGGACAAGCCAGAAAATATGAAATGTACACCGCAATTCTTGGAAGACCTTGGGAAGGGATCTTTTAGTTGTTCAACTCATCACACATCTGTTCCAGTAGACTCTTACCATGGTAGTAAAACATGACAATCTGTTGCATAATTGATATTCTTTTTTAGAAATACCTTATGTTCTTATGTTTAGAAATACAAATGTGTCTCTGCATCTTACTCCCCAGATGACAAGGGAAACTGAGTAAACTTGTGTAGGGTTTTGTGGGCCACATGGTTCACAGAGTTCAGATACCACAGAAAGTGCAACAGTAAATCACTTCATAGTGTAGCAGACTCTGCTTACAGTTCTGATATTGTAAAACTGGTGACGGTGAAGCAGATGTTACTTTTTTTAATGTATCGCAGGCTGCAAATTGCAATTTTCTGTTTTGGTTGCTCCACTTTAGATCTTCAAGTGCTTTTCTATTTTGTGCCAAATTAAAAGATTTGGGAAGAAAAATATCATTAGGTTGCTATTTAAAGGGTTTTGCTGGGGGGGGGAGGGGATTTGTCTTTCACTGGTGTTTGGACAGTGTTTTCAGATACATTTTTTGGAAGTGGACAGGGACACATTTAATATAGCTATAGCCCTACTTCTTTGTGAGAGTCAGTAAATATAATTTTGATGCCTGGGAATTTAATGACATCTTTTCTTGGAAGAAGAACCGTGAAGAAAATTAGAAATTGTGGTCAAAATCCTGGCATCCCGTGACTATGTAACCCATAAATTAAAGCTTTTTGTGCTTTGAAACATTCAATGCTGAAGCATGATACATCTAACAACTTCTGTACTAATACATTTCTGTACTATTTATTTTATGTCTAAACATAATTGCCACATCTCTACCTTTTTAACTTCTACTGCTATAACAGTCAAATAACTTTGGCTGCTGGGAATCTCCCTTATTCAGAGTGTAAAATTTGGATGTGAGGAACTGCCATATAGTGTGACATAAGAGGAACTAAAGTCAGAGAAAAGTACCACCAGTATCACCAGTGTGGATATAAAACAGGGACAGCATAAAAGTACTTTTATATTTTGGGGCTTTATACTCTGGGCTGAAATTGGTCCAAGTAAATAAGCAACCTATATACTTAACAATTTTTAGGTACAACTTATTAAACAATGAGTTTTCCTATAGACCTTAGAGTTTTTCTACAGGTGTTAATAATGGCTCATTGGGTCAGCTGTTAGTTTCTCTAGTTAAACCATTTGGGAAGTTCATGATCTCTGGAAAGGCTCATGAAAGGCATTCCATCTCCCAAGAGCCTTTCTAGAAGCAGCCGTCATATAACCTTAGCTGCTCTTTGTGCAGTATTTGTCTTTCAATGCAGTTATAGTGCCATTTTTTAAAATAAATGAATTTAAAGGAAGTTTAAATATATATATAGGTGTCTTCTTTTTTTGGTCAGCAAAACCAGAAGAGATAAAACCGGTGGAGCTTGTGACGGGAAATGACATCACGGCACCTCCAAACAAAGAGCTTCCTCCAAGCCCTGAGAAGAAGACCAAGGTAGGTGTGCCGTTATGTCATGGCTTCTTTATACCCAGCTCTGTGGGTTTGGTTTCCCCTGCCTGCTTTACTCCCTGCTTCTTAAGCTGTGATGATACACTTCTGTTTTCTGAGCTAGTGGCTTCTGGGAAGTATTTCATTTGAACACGAAACAATGTAATTCAATTGTAAAGTTACAAACAAATTGGCTTTCAGTAAATCTAATTGAAACTGGATTTAACCCAACAAATTTATGCTCAACTTAAATGTAAAATAATTCATTGGGCAATGTCCATGGTGGGGAGAACAATAAATTTTCATAATGACATTTCAAGAATATTAATATTTTGATCCACTTGATAGTTTCATTATTATTAATGTATTTGTATTTCAGTAGCATACAGGGGTCCCCATCAGGACCTGGGGCCCTAGTCTGCTTGGCATTGTACAGACAGTTGGTCTCTACCTCAAAGAGATGGTAGCACTCAGCAGAGTCTGAACCAGAACTCTTACTGAAGTTTTGAACCCAAACAGTAATCTCTATATCCGTGAATGCCATGGTTTTACTCTCATTCACATTGTCACCTGACAAATCCAAAGGAATAGGCTTCAAACAACTAAGCTCCAGTTTTTATTAAGAGTTGATACCTAAGGCTAAATCCAGGTCACATTGAAGGGACTGGGAATTTGGTCATTGGTTTAGATTAGATTAGGATTTAGATCTTGCACTGCATTATATATGTATAATTAGACAGAAATGTCCCGTTCATTGAGCATAGGACTAAATGTCAGGAACTCCAAACATTAATTGTAGCTCCACCACTGACTCCCTTTGGGGCCTTGATTGTCTCTGGGCCAAATTCTGGTCCCATCAAATTTAATAGCAAAACTCTTATTGACTTCAGAGGGCAAAATCCTGGTCCCAGTGTTGCTGTTCCCCATCTGTAAAACCGGTAATACATTACTTCCGGTCAATGTTATATGCCAGCTCTCAGCCTTTCTTTTGTTACGCTCAGAAGACAGGATGTTTAATGTTTTTGTTTCCTCTAAATAGCATTTTATGTTCCTTGCTGCTTAACATTTTTGTTTACAATGCGCTGTTTTTTTCTTTTTGTCTATGTTTGTGTTTACATTGGATGTTGCTTTTTGAAAAATGTAAAGCCTTCAGCATCCACACCATCAGCAAAACCTGCAGCAACGAAAACCAAGCCACTGTCCACTACAAGCCCCAAGCGGCCAGCTTCTGCCACACCTGGCCAAAACAAAAAACCCACCAGCCCTACTGCAGGTCCTACTTCGGCCACTACTCCCAAACGCCCAGCCACCAGCACTACACGTCCCTCCACTTTAACTCCTAAAGACACTAAACCAAAGGTAAGAGAGAATATTTCACTTGCACATTGAAGCTCCAAGGCTTGTAGACCAAAATCCAGGTAACTGTTTTATCTAACTAGCAACAGTCGATAGAAATCAATGGTAGTATAGTTCTAGAGACAACAATGGAATAATAAGATTAAAGCCTGAGCTTGCTATCAGATCTGCATGGTTACAAGATTCTGCCTCCATGGATCTGAGGAGGATATGTATTTTGGCACTGAGGGGTAGGAAGAGCAGGAGAGCGTTGAAATTTTTATGAACTACTAAAAGGTGCTCAAGAAAATTCTTTACTTTTTTACATTTAAAACAAAAGCCTGTAACCTTCTTTGTTCTGCATTATACACTTCAGAGAACTGCTGAATTAATGTGATTGAATTGGGAACTTAATGTTCAACTCCACATTCTATAAAAAGAGCTAGACCAAATAAGTCAACAAGAAAACTGGGAAACCAGTAGGTAAATAAGACCACTGGGATGTGGGAGGGGGAAAGGTTAAGAGTACTGGATAGCTACAGTCTAACAAGGCAAAGCAGAGACTATTACAATAACAACGGGGGTTAAGCTATGGTCGGGAAAAGTCATCTTAAATATGAATAAGGGACTGGAAGAAGCTGCCGAAACAGGTTGTAGAAATCTACCACCACTGGATGTCTTCAAGATACAGATTAATCACCCATTTTAGGTAATTGTGACACAAAGCAGGGGTATAGACTAGGTGACCGAATAGAGATGCTTCTACTCCTAAATAGCTCTGTGAAATCTTCTCCAATGTCTTCCCAAATAAACACCCTGAAGAATGGCCTACCAACACTCCCCTTGAGATAAGCAGCAGGAATAACCTCCGCACCCCACACATACATACGCTAATGGTGTTTGCAGATTGAGTGCAATCCTTCCAATTCAGTGTCACTTTATGTAACTTCAATAGTGCCCAGATACCGTGGTGATGGATGCCATTAGATATGACTTATTCATTGATCTGCTCAGTAAATGGTCGTTCAAACTCTAAAGCATCATATCCTAGAGCAAAAGAAGGATATAAGCACTCAATTTAGAGAACTGAAAGCCTGTCTTCAATGTGCCCCATGCTGATTGTGACCTGTAAGTGGGTTGTGCAGTGTGTATTTGGTATTTGTAGAACACCAGACTTTTAAGGGGACACTGACAAAATACAAATTTTTTTTTAAAGTTCTTGTTTGTAATTGCATCAGAGATTATTAAACTGGAGCAATTTGAAAATCTAATGGACTTTCTGCTCCTCACTCAGCTTGGAAAATAAAACCGTTTACTTTACCTCTCACTGCATCATCTCTAGATGTTTAAATTTACTCACCTATTACATCTAGGTGCTTACATTTACATCCAGTTTGAAGCAAGGCATTTTTGTTTATAACAACTTCATGTGTATATTCTCATGCAGTAGTACAGAAACTGCAGAGGAATGTTGAAATAAACTTCAGCTGTAAATCTTCACATTCATCAGTGTGTTTGTTAAGGGCTTAACTGTCAAATGCAGATCTAAAGGATTGTGTTTAGTGTCCCCTATACAGGTGGTTACAAAAGGGCAAATATATGTGTCTGTGTCTCTGTCTGAACAAAGCCAATGTATATTTTGATGGAAATAATGATTTTTTTGGGTAGGTAATCCCACTTTCACTTCCTCCTTCCATCGTTACTTTTCTAAATTTATCACTAATCACAAATGTTTAACGCTTTTTAAAATTGATTTTAGGTAAACCATAATATTGCAGAAATTCTGAGTTGTGACCAAATATTGTATAACTCCCCTGCTTCCCCCTCTCCCCCCCAAATAACCACTTATAAATTATTTCCAATTTCTGTTGATGTTGCAGTCAAATCGTCCCATCTGCTTAGTTTTCCAGGAAGGAATGAACCACTCTCCATTTTCCTGATGGGTCAATTGTTCATAAATTGATCCTTCTATTGTGTTCCAGATGATCTGCCAAATGCCTTTTTAGCCTGGAAAGCATTTTGGCCTGTAATTAAATAGCTTCCTATTCCAGAGGTTAGTGAGTGCCATGATGCTAGGGAACTAATGACTAAAAAAGAACAGTGGAGCTCAAAATAAATACTTTGTGTAAGTCTACAAATGGACTACTCCTGTCAGCTGAGGAATCTAATGGAGCTTCCCAGATAGTGAATAATGAATTTTAGGGTGCACCAACCTCCCTGTCTCATGTGTCCTTCACTAAGTATAGCCAGCCACAGGTTTTCATGTACTATAGGACATTTGTTTTAGAATTTTCTGTTACAGAACTTTTCTTAGCAGTGTCTAGCTTATGTATTTAAGAATCCAAACAGTTGTGCTTCAGCCATTTTTAAAAGGAATTTCAGTGCATTCCAAGTTCTCTTGCAGCTACATCTTGAGAGTACTGTTTGTAATTGGGCCATTGGTTTCAGTGTAGCCTTTTGTTACCAGGTAACAGATGCAAAGAGCCCAGACAAACGGACCTCACTTTCAAAGCCACTGTCTGCTACGACACCTCGAGCTGCTGTAAAGGGCAGCCCTGCCACGCCCAGGACAACTGCAGCATCTCCAGTTACAACAGCCTCCGGTCTGAGAAACACTGCTACTTCCCCACCCAAAAGGCCAACATGTAAGCATTGCCCTTTTGAGCTCAGGACGAGCACCCTTGCTTTCTAAACTGTTGCTAGCTTCTGTTGAAAAATGTTAGTATTTGGATTAACTGACAGAAATTTAGCCCTCTCTTGCAGCTCATAGTGCCCCTGACAGTTTGAACTGAGGCAATAATCAGCACCTTCCATGCTTGCACTTCTCTGGCCCCATCAGTTTGTCACATTTAGGTTTCCATTAAATAAAATGGCTAGTTCTTCAGTTGCAAATAAAACTATCACATTTTTGGCCACAAATGGTGAGGACTGCTTGAGCTGTGATAAGTGTGAACTTGAAGTGTGATAGGTGTGTAGAGATGGTGATAGGCAGATGTAGAGACATAGGGGACAGAAAATTTAAGTTTTATAAATTCAGAGTCTGAGACCGGAAGAGACCATTAGATGATCCATTCTGACCTCCTGTATATGTAGGCTTGGCAGAATTAGATTTTTATTTTTTTGTAACTTCAACAGATATTAACTTTTTCTTTTAAAGCATTTTTTATTTTTGTCTAGTTAAAATTTTCACAGTTGCAGGAAATTATGGGGTGGTCAGACAATAAGGAGTCATGAAATTATTTAATGACAGTAGATCATAGAATATCAGGGTTGGAAGGGACCTCAGGAGGTCATCTAGTCCAACCCCCTGCTCAAAGCAGGACCAATCCCCAACTAAATCATCCCAGCCAGGGCTTTGTCTAGATGTTGAAGTTCAAAAAGTTAAAGCTTTTGTCAACATCACATGTCAAAATGATCAAGTAAATACCCTTAAATCAAACTCTAAGTTCGCTAGCAGCATTTCTTTTATTTTGCCTATCTGTAAATTTCTGTTATCAATGGAAATATTTTTTTGTTGGTTTGTATGTGTATGATGAAATTGACATGTATCAATATTTACTGATAAGAATCTAATACTTCCAAGCCTGTGTATATCACAGGCCATCTAAATTTCACCCTGTTTACACTTTGCTCAATGAAGGGGTAACTTGTACTTGGCTAAAACCATATCTTCCAGAAGGACACCCACCCAGTGTTGATCTGAAGACATCAAAGAATGGGAAACCCCTCACTCCTCTTTGTAATTTGTTCCAATGGTTAATCACCCTCACTGTTAAAAAATTGTGCTTTATTTCTAATTGAATTTGTCTGGCTTCAGCTTCCAGCCATTGCTGCTTCTTCTGCCTTTCTTTGCTAGATTAAAGAGCCGTTTAGTATCTGGTATTTTCTCCCTGAGAAGGGACTGTAATCAAGTCAAATCTCAGTCGTCTTAATACGCTAAACAGGTTGAGCTCTTTAAGTCTCTCACTATAAGGCATTTTCTCCAGCCCTCAAATGATTTTTGTGGCTGTTTTTTGCACCCACTCCTCCAACTTTTTACCATTCAGAACTGAATGCAGCATTCCAGCATCAATCTCACCAGTGCCATATACAGTGGTAAAATCACCTTCCTACCCCTACTCACCACTCCCCTGCTTATACATCCAAGGATCACATTGGCCTTTTTTGCCACAGCATCACACTGGGAATATATTGGGTTACTTGTCCACTGTGACCTCTAAATCCTTCTCAGAACCCACAGTCCATCAGTCTGTAGGTGTGGTCTTGTAGGAATAGCACTAGGCCTTGTGCCAGACCTCCATGGAACCCTAACAGAAACTCTCCCATTCAGTGATGATGATTCCTCATTGACAGCTAATTTCTGAGACCTCAGTTAGCCACTTCTTAATTCATTGAATTTGTGTTTTATTGATTTTGTATTGTGCTCATTTTTGATCAGAATATCATGGGATACTAAGTCAAAAGCCTTATGAGGGTCTAAGTCTGTTGCATCGATGCAGTTACTTTTATCAACCAAATTTGTAATCTCATCAAAGAATGAAATCAGGTTTGTTTGACAAGATCCATTTTCCATTAAAACATATTGACTGGAATTTAATCATATTCCAGTTTTTTAATTCTTTACCTATAGAGTCCTGTATGACCTTTTCCACTATTTTGCTTGGGATTGATGACAGGACTAACCCACCCTACAGTTACCCTGCCATCCTGCTGGCCCTCTTCAAAAGTTTCCATGGTACTCCAAGATTATTTAAAAATGGCCAGTGATCTTCTTAGGCAACTCTTTGGGACTCTTGGTTGTAAGTTATCCAGGCCAGTTGATTTAAAAATATTTATCCTTAGGAGATGTTATTTAACATCCTCCTTAGTTACTAACAGGCTGGAAAGTACTTCATTTTTCTGTGATGTGAGTACATTATCTTGCTTCTTTCCAAATATAGAACAGAAATATTTATTGAACACTTCTGCCTGTTCTGCATCGTTATTAACAATGTTACCATCTACATCTAGTAATGGGCCTACACCATTGCTAGTATTTATTTTGTTGCTGATCTATTAACAAAAACAAACAAACCAACCCACTTCCTTCTTATTGTGCTTAGTCCTGCCAGTCATGGAATTTTCCTGATGTCTTTAGTGTCCCTTATCAATTTTCTGCACTTCATAACTTCTAATTTATATTGATTGCTATATATTTCTTTTGTTTTTTTGGGCTTCTAATTGCTCACTTCAATTTGCCACAATCAGGATGGGCTGTCAGCCAAAGTTGTCCTCTATCTTGGTTGGGGAATTGTGGCTTTTTGGCCATCTAATTACCTTTTCTTAAAGAACTCCCAATTTTCATTTACCTTTTTTCTGTCTAAATTTTTCTTCCTAATCAGTTTGGCTCATAAATTTCCTCAGCTTTTGGAAATTAGCCTTTTTGAAGCACCAAGTGTATATATTACTGCTTGGGACTGTCTTTTGTTTGCCTACATTGAATGTAATCGGGTCATGATCACTGGTCCCTTGGTAACCACCAACTTCCAATCTCTTGAATAATTAATTTTTGTCCATCATAGTAAGGTTCAAAATAGTACCTTGTATTGGGTACAGTGCCTTCACATGTCAGAAAATAATCTAGCAAAACTATCGTCAGGTTAGAGATGATGGCAAAGTTTAGAGATAAACAGGTTTGCCAAGGGATGCATTTTTGCTTTTGATATTAAATGAAGACAGTTGAGAGAAGGCCTCAAATTGATTTAAGAGAAGCAGAGAGGGGGAGTCATTAAAGGTGTCAATTGAATGTCACTAGCAAGCAATTGGTGAGAGATGTGGGAAAACCATTATATAAAAATGAATAAAAGTAAAAACAAAGCGACCCTTACCCACCATCCTGAGGCCTAACCATGTTATGACATTCTCTAGCCTCCCTGAGACTTTACTCTATGAGCTTGAGTCTCTCTCTGAAGGACATGAGTTGTACCATATCTTGTGAAATAAGATGCTGCTTTTGTAATGAGAGGGAGTTCACCCAGGCATGGGGAGCAGCTGATTTTATGAGAAACTTTGATGTTTCCCTCTAAATAACAGGAAAGAGGCTAGCCCTAAAATGAGAGGCAGTCATCCTTTTTTGCATCTCACAAGTATGCATTGGGGATGCAGAAGAAGCTGATTTCTAAGAAGCAACGGAGAATGTCTGGCCACTCATGGAAGCTATGCCAGCATCCACAAAGGGTCGGTCTGTGTGTTGGCTTTCACTCCCAGTAACACCAATGAATCTGTTCACAATGAAAGCATGAAGAAAAGGTTGACTGTTTTTGTACTCTTTAGCTATCAAGACTGAAACAAAGCTTGCAGATGCCAGGAAGACCACTATGAAGTCACCATCAGGTAATCTCCCTCAGTTCCTGCATCTAAATCCTTCTCTACTTCACTACAGAAATGTGTTCAATCAGCATGTTACTGTGTATCTTTACAGTTGGGTATTTGTCTGCTTGATTTGATTGATATTTACTCAAACTTCCCTTTCTGTTATGATTATTGCAGCAGACCTGAGCCGCCCAAAGAGTGCTCCTGCAAACTCTGCGAAGAACAGCGCCACTACCCCCACTGCAACAACCCCAGGTACTCCTGTCTCACCTGGAGTTGCCACCAGCCGCCCCAAACCCAAGCCAGCTGCAGCCAGACCCACCACAGCATCGAGTACAACTCCAGAAGCTAAAAAACCATCAACAGTTAAAGCTCCACTTAAAACCAGCACTGTTCCCAAGCCACCTCGCCCAACCAGCAGTGTTTCTGCCTCTGACCTGAAGAACATACGATCCAAAATCGGATCAACAGATAACATTAAACACCAACCTGGTGGAGGAAGGGTAAGTCTCCTCAGTCAGCTTTTAGGACTACTCACATGCATTTAAGAGCTGTTGGTAGTTCTCACTGCTTTCAGTCACTCTATGCTCACTGGCTTTCCTATATTCAGACTCTGCAGAGCTCCTTTTAGGTTCCCCATGTGCACAAGGCAGCACCATTAGCATATAGAGGAAATACACTTTGAAAGGTTTCATGGAAGTATTTGGAATATGAACAGAATTTCACAACTCTTTGATACGGAGAAACAGAGCCACACTCCTGATCTGAAGACTAGCTTGTGTGAAAGCTCAGAACTCATTTATTTTCAGAGTATCTGTTTGAGAAGAGGATTTGGGACTGCTAAAATTGTACACCAGGTAGAGTAATGTGCCACTACGTGGGAGATCTGGATTCAGGAGCAAGTCTTAGGACACACTGTCTCTGTTGACATGAGCAATGTGCTGTACGGGTTAGGCTTGAAGCAGAGGTGGATAGGGCAGCATGTGCTGTTCTCAGGACACCCTCTGGTGGCCACAGACAGATAACTAAGGAAGAGGGAGATGGATTGAGAGAACTGCTATGGGAAAAAGTAGATGCAGAGGTAGAAGGAGGGGGTAGGACATACCTTGAGGCCCTCATTTAATACAGAGGTGCTAATTAATTTTCTCCCTGTGATTCTCTGAATGAGAAAAGCCTTGGAATATTTCTATGGAGTTCCTTATAAGGGTCAGACATTAGACTGATTAATGTGTATTGATTTTTAATCAGAGGGCAATCATTAACGTTTCCATCCTATACATCTTGTAAATGCAGAAACATGAAACTATTATCAGACATCATATAACAGATACTCCCAAACTTTGTGTGACCAAGTATTGAATTAGCAACTTGCCTTTAGTCCGAGGGCTTTACTTTGTGTAAAATGGAGCAAATTGCAGCACCCTTGCTTTTAATACAGAGGAGTGGTCTCCTGAAACTGATTTTCCATTCTGATCTCTGTAACCAAGGTGAAGCACTTTTTGATGGGAACCCTAGTCTCTGAAAGGCACACTAATCATAAGGGCAGTCATGAGCTGCATTGTAGTATACCATAAACCACATCACCGAAGGTACCACCGAACTGTTAAAAGTCCGGCATGTTATAACTGTAGATGGTCATGACCCCTCAGAGCCAAGAAGCCCAAAGAGTGCTTCCATGAGTATGTGTTGGGGTGCACAAAAAGCAGATATCTAAGTAATGACCGAGAATGTCTGCCCATTTAGGGAAAGCTGTGCCAGCGTTCACAAAGGGAGAAACTTCCAAACAGGGTAAACCAAACCTGGCTGGAGGACCTGGAAGTGAGAACCAAGGGAGGAGTGCTCACAAATTGAATGCAAGTTGAGACTAGATTGGAGGTTCACTAACACCATTAAGGTCCTTCAGAAATCTGGTCAAAAGAATTCCAGAAGCGTGGAAAGCTTTCTGGCTAGACTTCAGGGCTGTCTGTTAAAGGGACATTGTTTGTACAATGTATTCCCTTGTTTGTACTCCCTTATTTTGTTGGATCATTTCCATTTCATAATAGCAGTAGGTTAGAGTGTATGTTAACATAGACTGTCTGTCAAAGAGAATCATTGTATTTCTTGCAGGGCTTTTAAAGTCTTCAAAGTTATTCTTCTTTTGGGAGTGTCCTAATAAACAGAGAAGTGTTGCCTGTTTTACTGCTGTATTATTAATTGGTTCAGCAGGGTACAGAGCTGCTGCAGAAGCCCTGGTCTTAAAAAATTCAGCTTTGAGTGCACTCGCCTGTTGCGGTGAGCATTGGTTAACAAGTAAGAAATCAGCGGGAAAATGGACTCTCTCAGGCTGACACTGAATTTTTCCAAACCTGCACAATCTCATGTTGAACTAACTGCAACTTTTTGCCTTTGCACCAATCTTGATTGATTAAATCTTAATACACAGGATCAGGTAACGTTTCTTCATTGCTGTACGCAGCATAATGTATAGCATGAGCCACGGTAGGGTGGTGAGGGAGATGAGTAATGGGAATACAGTGCAGACCCATCCAGCGGAACGCTTAGTAGGGTTTCAGAGGTGGGAGGAAGTCTCCAGGTAGACCTGTGGAGCAAAAAAACTGTAGGACAGAACCTGGCACAACTGTTCAGTTATTATGAGGCCGGGCATAATTCTTCCACAGAGCCTTGGCCACCTACCCCACTAGGAAGCGCTAAAATTCTGATGCATGAAGGGATCTTTCAAGAGATTCGCTTGTCTGAGTGAGACCGTACCTTCTGCTTTACCAGTTCTAGATTTGAGATTCCACCTTGTCTCACCATTTTAACATGTTGATTTATAAAAAGTTCTCCCTGACTTGTCCAGTCCACTGAATCTATCTTGGTTGTTGATTTGAATTCCATCATTTCCTCCCATCATTTACTTTGATTCTCATGGTTAAAATCATCCTCCATTTGTCTCCATCTAGGCTAAAGTAGAGAAAAAACCAGAATCAGCCGGTGCTGCGCGAAAGTCTGAACCCAATGCAGTCTCTAAAATGGCTACTACTAAAACAACTGTAACAAAAGAGGGTGCACAAAAGCAGCCCAATGGGAAAGTGAGTTTTGTTTCAGTCTTTTATCCCTGAAAGATGAAAGGGAAACTTTTTTCCATTTGAGTCACTTTCCCTTCTATTTAGCTTTTATGCTTTCTCTTGTCAGTGTCACTGTTCCCCTCCCTTCCCCACGTGCACCTTTTCCACATCTTTCCTGTATGTCCTGTGACACTGCCAGTAAAATACAGTCAGAAGTATTCCTGCTGACTTCACATATAGTTTTTTTCAAGGCCTGACTTACACATTGCTTCAGTGGTGTGCTCTGCCTTCACTTTTAGATGGGCTGTAACTCTAAGATGGGCTGGTCTTCTGTGAGGAAAACCTCCCTTCTCTATGGATGCATCTGTGGATGCTGGGATTAGGAAGCGGGATCAATGGTCCTGGCACTTTCAAACAAAAAAGTATGGAGAACTGGTGACTTAATGTTCTCCCTGTAACTTTCTGGACCTAGTTTCAAGAATACTGTTCTCTAACCCCTCACAGCTGGTGGTTACCAGTTGTTGGCTTCCTACCCTGAAGTTCTGTCATGAAGTCTTATCCCAGATCTGAGCTATGTGGGGGAAAGGAGTAGAGAAGAGGAGGGCTGGCAGTGAAAGTTTAACTTGTGAGCTGGTGCTATCTCCTGAGATACCATCAGGTAGACCTTATATATGTATAGGATGGCATTGGTCTTGCTCTTAAATGTTTTGCTCCTCTGAATTAGAGCCAGCAAGCTGGTAAATTTCCATGGCAGGGTAAATGTGAGGGTCCTTGTTGCACTTAATCCAATCTACCTAAATTGGCAAGTATCCTTTGAAAACTCCATGTTGGTGGTTCTAGCTACAGGTGATAACTTCAATGTACAAAACCAAACTACTGTAGGAGGTAAAGCTTCCACCCCGTATTTAATTTATCTTCTTGTACCATGCGTGTTTCTGAACATGCTATACCGTAAGTAACCTCTAGGACTGAACTCAGGGGCTTGTCATAACTGATTTTATTTATTTATTTATTTTTTAAAGAGTAGAGTTGTAGCTTTCACTTAACTTTTGAGGGTTCATAGCCTTAGGCTTTTTTGTGTGTTTAATGGGTCTGGAACTGTTTGTTAGATACATTGTTTCTCCTGTATCTGGCTGTCATCAGACCTGCTGCCAATTAAGTTAAATTGGTGGTTTGACGACCTTCCATGTAGTTACTGCTTTCAGGATTAGGCTATACTGCTGAGAGGTTTTCAGATGCATTGCCTAGGATTTGAGTCGTTCCCAGGCAAACTGGAACAGTTTAAAACTGCAGAGACTAACCAGTGAGTGGGTTGTCGGAGGCAGTGACTTGGATCAACGAGGTGAAAGTGTGAGAATGAAGGGATGGAGATAGCCATGTTTGTTCTCACTGCTGGAATGCATGGCTGAACATGCGCTAAGGAAGCTAGCATACAGAGTCTTCTTGGCAGCCAGGCGCTCTTGTACTGCTTGTCTGTACAATATGCTAAGAAAGTGTTGTCCACCACAATAGCACTTAAGCTGTCACCACTGCCACTGTCTGCTTAGCTGTACTCTGCCTCTCCTTGTTTGTTCACTCTTTTTCTCTCTGTCTTTCAAGTTCTTTCACATGTAATGCTGAAGTTGGGTTGAAGTTTAACACAGCTCTTTGTTTATCCACCATGTTACAGCATCACTCCAGCCTGCCGTATGACCGTTCTAACCAGTCCTCTTCCCTTGTGTTGTTTTTCCATTCTGTAACACTCTAGGTCCAGATAGTCTCCAAAAAAGCGAACTACAGCCATGTTCAGTCCAAGTGTGGTTCCAAGGACAATATTAAGCATGTCCCTGGAGGTGGGAATGTAAGTATGGACTCTGGACAAGCTGTCTTTCTACTAACTTCTTGTTCTGCTTTTTTATGTAGACTTTTGAGAATATTCTGTTTCAGGCGGATGAGCACGGCAGAATTAAGATTTCTGGGAGATGTGTAGGTAGACTTTTTCCTGAGCTGTAGTAGGTTAAATGTGTGAGCGTATGTTACATTTCACAGCCGTGCATTCGATCCATTTCCCAGTGACCTAAAGCAAGGAGGATTTTGCATCAGGAGAAGGACTTTGAAACACTTCTGGGGATGTAAGATTCCAATCTTTGTTTAGTTACTAACTTAAGAGCGACTTCTAACATTCAAGGCTACTGGTTTCACTGGAAATAGGGAGGTGAGCTTGCTGAGGTGTTGCGAGCTAATACTGTGATGGTTGTATACGCACTTTGAGTACACACTGTGGATTTCAGATGGAGATAGTATTGCTAGGTATCTAGAGCTGAGTGATCGGAGCAATGCCAAATACCCATCTGGATGGTGAAAAAAACATGCGCTTTAAAGACGTCCTGTGTTGACCTGACAGGTCACCTGTTTCCCAGTGGACACAGCCTGCATTACCTTTAAAAATATCTATCTGTCTATCTATCTATCTGTCTATCTATCTATCTGTCTATCTATCTGTCTGTCTATCTATCTGTCTGTCTATCTTCTGTCTATGCCAGAGTTTGTTTACTTTCTAAGTAGTGATAGTTTCTGGGAATGCAGAGTGTGGATGCTCGCAGCAATAGCAACTTTGCCACTGTTTTAAATAAGGAGGGTGACTAGGTGGAAGAGTCTGTTTCTTGCTGCTGCTAATTTTCCATTGTCCCTGTGCCCAACACACTGACAGCTATCGCTGTTGAAGTTCAGAATCCCTGTACTGAGTGGGGTGTCACCTGTAGTGATGTCCTGGCTTTCCCTTCTCCATTCCACTGACTCTATGCCAGGGGTGGCCAACCTGAGTCAGAGAAGGAGCCAGACTTTACCAATGTACATTGCCAAAGAGCCACAGTAATACGTCAGCAGCCCCCCATCATCTCCCCACCCCACTAGCAGTGCCTCCCACCCACGGGCAGCCCCGCCGATCAGCGCCTCCCCCTCCTTCCCGATCAGCTGTTTTGTGGCTTGCAGGAAGCTCTGAGGGGAAGGGGGGGAGGAGCGAGGGCACAGCAGGCTCAGGGGAGGGGGCAGGAAAGGGTGGAGTGGGGGCAGGGCCCGTGGCAGAGCCAGGAGTTGAGCAGTGAGCACCCCCTGGCACATTGGAAAGTTGGCACTTGTAGCTCCAGCCCCGGAGTCGGTGCCTATACAAGGAGCCACATATTAACTTCTGAAGAGCTGCATGTGGCTCCGGAGCCCCAGGTTGGCCACCCCTGCTCTATGCAGTTGTGGGATTAAAAACTTATTAATGCAATGCTGTTTAAAAAAGCTAAAGTTAAATCCCTTCAGCTTCTCTTCCAGGATGGAGTGGGGAGGAAACCTGCATTCTTGGCCTGCAAATAGTCAACCGTTAGAGGCAAACGTAGTGCTTGGCCATGGACTCAGTGCATTGTCACCTGTTTGAGCACTTGCCACTCGCTGGACTTGGAGGCTGTAAATGCTGCCTCGAATATTGCTTGTGGGGCAGGTCATGCTCTGTTAGCACCTTCTTGAGAAATATGCCTGTGCATGGTTATGCATCAACTCTTGCATTCAAATTCTTTCATAAGTTACTGCAAGAGGATCCTGAAGACCTTCGTTGTGGGTTTTATTAAAAAAAGCTTGTTAAATCAAGGGCTAGTCATCCTTTTCACAGGTGGAGAACAACCTTTTCTCCGGGTGTAGGAAGAGCACAGCTACAGGTGTAATTTTCATTTAATCAGGCTTTTGTTCTCTTCAAGATTTATAACTGCCGAGACATTTTATATTTGTGCTGGGGTTGTCTCACATTTCACTTTGCCAGTGCTTGGCATCCATAGGGTTCTTTCAGCTGTACTGCTAAAGAGCAGCTGTTATGCACCCAAAGGGGCTTTATTTTATAAACCACTCCTTTTCTGTTGAGTGGTGTTTTGTATAGTATATTTCTGGCTGGGCCTTATGTACTTTTTCCTCCTCTGTTATCAACAGACATGTTACAGAATAAAACCTTGGGTTGCGGGGAATGTTTTTCACTTTATATTAAAAATCCCATGTAATAAACCACCAAAACTGTCCTCTTCTCTCCGTTTTACTATTCTTCTATCCCCTCTAGGGGATGTTTCCAGCTCTAGGGAAAAGAGGTATCCTCTTTCAGCTCTTTGTTCTCCCAGTGTCTCTCTTCCTGTCACCACTACATCTCTTCAGTCCACTAGTTAAGCTGTTCACTTTAAGAACAGAGAATAAAGTGCTTATCATTTTCAGGTTCCAAATGCCCAAAAGCCAGCTTCAGGCAGCCGCTCCCAGCCGTCCATCGCCCCCAAACCCAGCCCAGGCAGTACCAATGTGAGTAGAAGAGCCAGACTGGCACACCTGGCTTCTTATGATTGGATTTCCTTTTGTCCATTTTGCATTCCCTCCGCTATTCCTGGGCACTGTACCAGGTGTCCGCTTCTAAGGCATTTTCTGTCCAGTCAGACAGCATGAGATAGTCCTCTCATTGCATCTGCTCATAGAAGCTCCCTGTTTCTAAAGTTTTTAACCATGCAGCTGATGGGAATGATTGAAAAGTCCATGGTTCCAGTGCTATTCTTTTTTCAGTAATGGCTGTTGGGCATTCTTGGGGCAAGCAGAGTGGTTAGCAAAAGCTAGCGATTCAGGGTTAGTGTTGTCATTTTACAAAAAGGTCTGCTGTGGTAGAAGTGACTGGAACTTGCTAGCCAATTCATTCAGTTACCTTCTGGGGAAAAAATTGGGGGTGGGTAGGGGGAACCTGCTTGCCCTGCCTCCTATGTGCAAGGGTGGTGACTGACTGTCAGGATACTGAGAAGTTGAGGTTGAAGGCTGTAGACTATTTTACTGCTTTCATTAGGTCTAGCAGAAAGACCCCAAAGCTCGCAGCATTAGATTTTACCTGGAAATAGTGTTTGTTATACTTTTATAAATAAGGAGAAAAAATACAAAAGCAAAGCAATAGAAATGAAATGTCTACAGTAAGTTTAAATCTAGCGAGGAGTAAGACATTTGGATAATCCATCGTACAGGCAGTCCTCGACTTTACAGCGTTATAGTTGCAACGAATGGCACGTACGCTGTTTATAAACTGACATCCTGTTTCGACTTAATGACATTGGTTTAGACTTTGACGCTTGGTCCAACAGTGTTCTTATGGGAAATTCGATGTTTTCAACTTAAGACACGATTTTCAGAAACCAATTTTGTCATAAGTCTGAGGACTACCTGTATATTCATTTTATCCCTGTTGTCAAAGGGTCTGGGTGCGATCATTCGGAATTCTTCTAAGAGCATGTGGGTTCTTTGGTGTCTCGAGGCTACCACCCTGTTTGAAAGCTAATGGAGAGTGGAAGGAGAGAGGGTTAGAGAGGTGAAAAACTAAAGGAAAGTATTAGTCATACTTCCTACCCAGAGTGCCTAAAGTCAGGCAACTAAATCAGCACTTAACTTTGGCCCCTGAGTCTGAGAACATGGCCTTTAGAGGGACAGGTTCAATAATTCAAGTTAGGCTTTGTCTACACTGACAACTGAATGACAAAATTTTTGTCGTTCAGAGGTGTTAAAAATAACGCACACCCCTGCCCTCGAAAGACACAAGTTTTGTAGAGGAAAAGTGCCAGTGTGAACAGCATGTTGTTGGCAGGAGCACTCTCCTGCCAACAACGCTACCGCCGCTTGTTGGGGATGGAAGTTTTTTGTTGGCAGGAGAGCTCTCTCCTGATGGTGCAGCTACACTGCGCGCCTTTTAGCGACACGGCTGTAGTGGCTAAAAGCTGCGTAGTGTAGACATAGCCTTAGTAGGAAGTGGGAAATTGAGACTCTTAAAAGAAACAGCTGTCCACAACCCTAAAGATTGTGAGAAATCACAATGACTTCTTCAAGGTCCTCGTTCATGTGTCCAGATGTTACCATTCAAATAGCCAAGTGACAGAATCTTAGTCCAGTTCTCACCAAACATCATATCATAAAAGCCATCATCACTAATCGGCAACTTTATTGGCAGACTCTGTGAAGACCAAAGACTGAATGGACCATGGCCACTGAACTCTCTTCTAACCCCTAGAGGGCTAACTGGCTCCTCCAGGTCAGGTTTGAGAGACATTGGCATGGGACTATATAAAGGGAGCTTATATTACTTCTGTGTGGACTGTACCTATTCTGTGAACAAAAAGAGCATCGAATCCAGCACCTTATGCAAGCACTAAACGAATCCGCACAATTACACACACACACACGCCAAGTTACAAATACATGTGCACACAATGAAGCTTCTCAGTAGGCTCTTAATGGGCTTCAGCATGGCAATTGCAATGGTTTATAAACTCCCAGCCCTGAAGAAGAGCTCTGTGAAAGCTTGTCTGTCTTACTAACAGAAGTTGGTCCCATAGAAGATATTACCTCATTCACTTTCTCTCTCTAGTTTATAAAGAGGTGAATTCAATACTAAGGAAATACTTTTATTTTGTTTATATGGATAATCTGATACTAAATATTCCAAGCTAGCGAGGTACTAGAGAAGAGGATCTCCCCAAGTCCCCCCCCACACAAGTTAGTCCTATTAAAGTAACTAGAAGTTATGAATTCCTTGCCGGGGAAATCTTGGTGATATAACATCTTCCGTGCAGCATTTTACAAATTAACCAGGCAAGAATAACTTCATTTGCCACTGAAATGCAGCTTCCTCTGGGATGGAATAGGTCAACTGTTTAATGGCACACAGCAATGCTACACAGCAGGTTATGGGTAGGAAGAGAAGACAGTCACATGGTATTGAAACTCCACGAGGCACAGTGTAGTTACTGAAGCTAGAATTCAGCCCAGGTATCGGGGCTAAAATCCTATTCTGGGGGAAAAGGCTGTGAAATCTTTAATAACTTAAAGTAGCAACAGCCTTGGCTTTACACCTATTCCAAAAGAGGGCATCTCCACCAGCAGCCCTATGCTAACTTCATGCTGGGACGTTGACTCATTACTGACCCAGAAGAGGGCTATCTATTGAATCACTTACACTACTGCTGTTGCTGGTTTTCCAGAGGTTTCCCAGTCAGGTATTGTTCAGGCCCATATGTGTGTAGTTTGAGATTTGTCAAGAAAAAAACCTTGTGATGATGTTGCTGCAGCAAATAAAACCCAGTAAATAAAAGATATATATTTCCATAGCTTATCTCAGAGAACCCCCACATCCAGCCTGTTTTTTTCTTAGCAGTAAGACACAGTCCTAGGTGTGGTGATGCAGTCTATCCCCATACGTAGCAGCGCATGCCTGTCAACATGCCCTAAAGAAACAGACTTAGTATCAGGTGGATCCACATCTTGGTGTGTTGGCTGAAGATGGTAGAGAGAAAGTTGAAGCCTCTAGTATATGCTTGGCACCACAGTAGGATAGCCTTGCTCCAAATAGACCAATCCAGATAACTTCTCTCCTGGCACGTGGCTGAAGGCAACATGGGACAGGTTTAAAAGTCAAGGCTGGTGTTGGGTAGAAACAGTCTGGGGAACTTGGGGGTGGAATCGGCCTCTTCGGTCAAACTTTAATATTCCTATGCATATGGCATATGAGACACTCATTTCTGGTCACTATCCATCTCTACTGGTTTTGTTTTTTTCAGTACATGTTTCTACTTGCACATATTCACCCTTTGTTGGCTGGGACAGGGCTTTTGATAATCCTAATGAACGTTTGCCTTTTTCTTAAGAATTCTTGAAACCTACATCAGCAATGCTATTTGACACCTACCAGCCAGGTGATTAATGGGAAAAGTGTGGCAAGGGGAGATTAAGACCTCATTAAATATAAACTGCCCTTTGCGGTGGGACAGTGGTTTCCAGTTTCATAAGAAATGTTTCTTTGTTCTGAGTTGTTCCTTCCTGTCTCTGTAGGTGCAGATCCAGAGCAAGAAAGTTGACATTTCCAAAGTGTCCTCAAAGTGTGGCTCTAAAACAAATATTAAACACAAGCCAGGTAAAACTCTTAGTGTGCACCCTCACACTTTGTCAGTTAGTGAATATTGCATGTCATTCAGGCAGAACCTGTGATCCCAATTGGAGCAAGTAAGGTGGATGGATGGCATTCTGAAGGGAAGTATCTAGTTTCTTATGGATGCAGCATGATCTCCTGATTAGACAAGGGGACTGGGAATCAGGAGACCTGATTCTAATCCTGGCTGTGACAATGACTTGCCTTGTTCTAAGCTTGGCTGTGGCAGTGACTTGCCCCAAATAGCAAGTCATTGTTACAGCCAAGCTTAGAACAAGGTAAGTCACTTAACCCATCTGCCTCAGTTTCCCCAACTCTAAAATGGTGAGATACCTGCCTTTCAAGGGTTTTGAGGCTTAATGAGATCCTCAGAGGGAGGGCATTAGAGAAGGGTGAAGTAGGCTCTCTCCAGTTCTCCGGAACAGATGCAGGAGACCTTTTAGTGTTTTGCACAGTAACAATCCATACTTTATAGAACACCTATCCTGAAATGATCCTAAATCACTTTACAGAATGCATGTGCAAGAATCCTTTGTTCCCCACTGACAACACAGCAGAGGCACCAATTCTTCCAGTGTCTGAGATTTCCATTGGACTCCTCATTGAGCAGACCCGCTCTTTAGCTGAAATGCTGACAGGATCACAGTTCAAGGTGTTATGGCTGCAGGCCAGTTGTCTAAACTTTGCTTCATGTCAGATCAAGCCGACCCTTGAGTAAGCCCAAAGAGTATGGTCCAGGCCTTTGTCTTGCTGGTTTTTTCAGTAGCAAGGGACAATCATCCGCACAGAAGAGTCCCCTGGTAATGAAACATGCCTGTGTGAAGAAAACAGAGTTCACAGACCAAACCTGAAAATGAACACTACAAGCTAGTCTTTGTTTCCAAAGACATCCCCAGACCCAGCCTGAAAGTCTCTTGGGTTGAAAGCAGTTCAACCTTGTGCACAAAACATCATGGTTCAGTGCATCAAAAACTCTCTCCCACTTGGAGAACATAGTGTCACAAACTTGGCCTCTGTCTATTCAGTGCTTTGCAGTAACAAGCTGTACGCTACACTACAATAACTGCTCTTGTCCAGGGCTGATTAAAACACAATAGTCCTGCAAGAATTATCTGTTATGTCACATTTTAAAGCAATTCTGTGTGGCCAAAATGATGGGATAAAATCCATCGGCCAGAAAGGATTCCGTTCACCCATGCAAAGCTCAGAAATTCTTTTAAAATGCTGAGGAGCTTATGTATTTAATGATGTCCCTGGAGGGCTGAAATTGTCGCCAGTGTTTCACTATATGAACAGTTTTCTAATAAAATTGTTAGAGGAAGCAGAACAATACACTGCACGTCCCCTGTTACTTGATGGGGGTTGCAGCCCTCCCACGTTCATTGAGAACTTGCCACAAATCTCAAGTAGGTCTTTGGGCCTCTTTCCATCCCTCCAGCAGAGTGCAGCACTATCAAACATAAGAGGGTAAAGCGAGGATTTCCTTCTTCTATGGGTCGTGCTGTTGGCTGCACTGCTGACAGACGGAGGCCTCCTGAGCTGTTCATGCAGCGTCATGGGAGCCTGTCTGGATTTGTTTAAATTGCAAGTGAAGAATAATTGAAGGTTTTTTAATGTAAAGTCACTTTTCTCTGACTGGGAATCAAACCCAAGCTGTGGCAGTGAGAGTGCCAAATGCTAACCACTAGACCGCAGGTCTTCCTGCCCTAGAAAACAGTGATTAGTGGATGCAGTTTTACAGTTGCAACTGATGGAGATGAAGAGGGAATGGAAAATAAGTGAACATAACAACAGCCAGACTGGGTCAGACCAAGGGTCCATCTAGCTCTGTATCCTGTCTTCCGACAGTGGCCAGTGCCAGATACCCCAGGGGGAATGAACAGAACAGGTAATCAAGTGATCCATTCCCTGTCGCCCATTTCCAGCTTCTGGCAGACAGAGGCTAGGGACATGACCATCCCTGCCCATCCTGGCTAATAGCCACTGATGGACCTATCATCCATGAACTTATCTAGGTCTTTTTTGAACTAGATAAACTAGTGGAGGAATGCAGCGAATGAAAGGGAGTCAAAAAATCATACACCAAGATCGGGTCGTGGATCTCTTGCAAACATCCACTTAAATAATGAGATGAGGTTGTCAAAGGACATGGAAGGAGAGGTGTCTGCACATGTATGTGAGTGGGAAGTTAGAGGATGCGATCAGAAATGACCTTGACATTTTAAACGTGGATTGACTGTCCTCCTTTGGAGGAGAGAAGTTGGAAGCACCTCTGGTATAATGAAGGTGGTAATGTGCAGTTCCTCCTACATACCCGTCCTAACATGCAGCATTCTCTGCACAGGGGCATCTCCAGGGTTGGACTCTGGAACTCATGCTTGCTTGTATTGTGGTTTTGTATGCAGAGGTGGAGTTCACCAGCTTTCATCTTGACAATGATCAGATTTGAGCCCAGGCCTCAGTTGGTGAAAAGCTGAGACACTTAATGCACTGTTCCACCCTACCCGCTACAAAGTAATTGGCTTAACGCAGAACTCTGGGGGTGGGTTTGGAGCAGGAGGAGGAGGGTGGTCCTGGGTCAGACTCTGCTCCAAGTGCTCCCCTGTTCTGAAACCAATAATAAATTCCATCCACCTCTCTTGTTCCAGGGGGAGGAGATGTCAAAATCGAGAACCAGAAGCTGAACTTCAAGGAGAAGGCGCAGGCAAAAGTGGGCTCTCTGGACAATGTGGGACACGTGCCAGCAGGAGGCACAATGAAGGTATGTGTCATTCTGCTCTTTTTCTTGAGCTCAGTTCAGCTCCCTGTCTTGTTGCTAATGCATCCCAGTTGCCCCCTTCAGTCAGCCTGTGGCCATTTACTCATTCCCAGCATCACTTCCATAACCACTCTGTCATTAAATCCAGAAAACAAGGAAGGGCTAAATGGGAGAGAGCTCTGAACCATGTCAGTATCCATTCTAGATGGGTCCCACCACATGTCTCTAGAGCAGCAGTTCCAAACTTCATTGTACCGGAACCCCTTTCTGACAGCAAAAATTATGACACGATCCCATGTAGGGCTGGAGCCGTACCCTTGCCTCAAGCCCTCGGGCTTCGGTTTCCGCCCCAGGCAATGGGGCTCGGGCTTCAGCCCCGGGTCCTAGTGAGTCTAACGCAAGCCCTAGCGACCCCAATAAAACGGGTCACGATCCAGAGCGTGAGAACTACTGCTCTGAGAGAGTAGCCTGGTTAATTTTGTCTCCCTCCCTCTAGAGGGTCTGAGAAGAGGCTTAACCTTTTAGGCTAGATCTATAATCAGATCCATTGTTGCATGGGTGAGAGGAAAGACTTGTGTCCGACTTTTGCTCCCTCCATTGTGATATTAGAATACCAGCTCACTCGTCCTGGCTAAGTGTTTGTGTAACTTCGTTATTGCACCAATCAGAGCAACTGGAATGGCTAGTTGGAAGCTCTCTCCCAAACAGAGCTGCTGAGATCAGTGTGCTCTGGGCTGTAAATACGCATTTTACTACATCAAGGAATCTATCTGTCTGGTAGAATCCTCCATGGGTGGGGTTAACCTCATACTAAACCTAGCTCTGAACCCTTTCTCTGGATAACTGTAAGAATGAATTCTTGCTTTAGAATCATAGAATCATAGAATATAAGGGTTGGAAGGGACCCCAGAAGGTCATCTAGTCCAACCCCCTGCTCAAAGCAGGACCAATTCCCAGTTAAATCATCCCAGCCAGGGCTTTGTCAAGCCTGACCTTAAAAACCTCTAAGGAAGGAGATTCTACCACCTCCCTAGGTAACGCATTCCAGTGTTTCACCACCCTCATAGTGAAAAAGTTTTTCCTAATATCCAATCTAAACCTCCCCCACTGCAGCTTGAGACCATTACTCCTCGTTCTGTCATCTGATACCATTGAGAACAGTCTAGAGCCATCCTCTTTGGAACCCCCTTTCAGGTAGTTGAAAACAGCTATCAAATCCCCCCTCATTCTTCTCTTCTGCAGGCTAAACAATCCCAGCTCCCTCAGCCTCTCCTCATAAGTCATGTGTTCCAGACCCCTAATCATTTTTGTTGCCCTTCGCTGGACTCTCTCCAATTTATCCACATCCTTCTTGAAGTGTGGGGCCCAAAACTGGACACAGTACTCCAGATGAGGCCTCACCAATGTCGAATAGAGGGGAACGATCACGTCCCTCGATCTGCTCGCTATGCCCCTACTTATACATCCCAAAATGCCATTGGCCTTCTTGGCAACAAGGGCACACTGCTGACTCATATCCAGCTTCTCGTCCACTGTCACCCCTAGGTCCTTTTCCGCAGAACTGCTGCCTAGCCATTCGGTCCCTAGTCTGTAGCTGTGCATTGGGTTCTTCCGTCCTAAGTGCAGGACCCTGCACTTATCCTTATTGAACCTCATCAGATTTCTTTTGGCCCAATCCTCCAATTTGTCTAGGTCCTTCTGTATCCTATCCCTCCCCTCCAGCGTATCTACCACTCCTCCCAGTTTAGTATCATCCGCAAATTTGCTGAGAGTGCAATCCACACCATCCTCCAGATCATTTATGAAGATATTGAACAAAACCGGCCCCAGGACCGACCCTTGGGGCACTCCACTTGATACCGGCTGCCAACTAGACATGGAGCCATTGATCACTACCCGTTGAGCCCGACAATCTAGCCAGCTTTCTACCCACCTTGTAGTGCATTCATCCAGCCCATACTTCCTTAACTTGCTGACAAGAATACTGTGGGAGACCGTGTCAAAAGCTTTGCTAAAGTCAAGAAACAATACATCCACTGCTTTCCCTTCATCCACAGAACCAGTAATCTCATCATAGAAGGCGATTAGATTAGTCAGGCATGACCTTCCCTTGGTGAATCCATGCTGGCTGTTCCTGATCACTTTCCTCTCATGCAAGTGCTTCAGGATTGATTCTTTGAGGACCTGCTCCATGATTTTTCCAGGGACTGAAGTGAGGCTGACTGGCCTGTAGTTCCCAGGATCCTCCTTCTTCCCTTTTTTAAAGATTGGCACTACATTAGCCTTTTTCCAGTCATCCGGGACTTCCCCGGTTCGCCACGAGTTTTCAAAGATAATGGCCAATGGCTCTGCAATCACAGCCGCCAGTTCCTTCAGCACTCTCGGATGCAACTCGTCCGGCCCCATGGACTTGTGCACATCCAGCTTTTCTAAAAAGTCCCTAACCACCTCTATCTCCACAGAGGGCTGGCCATCTCTTCCCCATTTTGTGATGCCCAGCGTAGCAGTCTGGGAGCTGACCTTGTTAGTGAAAACAGAGGCAAAAAAAGCATTGAGTACATTAGCTTTTTCCACATCCTCTGTCACTAGTTTGCCTCCCTCATTCAGTAAGGGGCCCACACATAGAGTTGAGATGCTGTCTTGGTACAGCACTTCTCCGCCACAAGGACATCAAACTACCCTCAGCCACAGCTCTGTAAACTGCACTGGTGCATCTCTCAGCTTTACTACAGCCATGAGGCGTCTGCTTTTAGGGGTGGGAAATCACCCCCATTTAGATGACCTCTTCATTATGACTGTGCAGGCTAATGTACCAAGCCATATACTCACGAGAATGGAGCTGGAGTTCACACATTCGGGTAGATTCGTTGGCACCAGAGGTTTAGTTCTAAGCACTATGGCATGGGAAGGAAGGAATCCGGTGTTCCAGCACAAAGGGCAGCAGCACCTCAGCCCCTGGGGAGAGCACTGGAGAAAAGCATCCCCTTCCAAATGCTTTCGCTTTCCATTGTTTCAATCCTATTTGTTCGTGATTGACATTTATGTTGTGGGAGCACCGAGAGGCCATGTAGGTTGGGGCCCACTGTGGTAGGTGCTGTATCCAACAAGATCATAAACAGTCCCCGTTCCAAAGGGCGTGCAGTCAGGGAGGTTGTGGAGGGGCTGGGATAACAGCAGATATGGCAGGATTCACACACACACAAGGATACAAATAGACCCCATTAAAATTGAGACACTGCCGACCATATTAATTGAGGGACAAGTAGGATGTTTCCTCCATTTTGAATCCTTTAAACTTAATTTTAGCTCCCAGACGATCCGACTTTAGCAGGCAGATGGCTTTAAGCAGGTATAAACGTAGCTGCTATGTGAGGGTAGGGGTTAGAATCTGATCCCTGTCCTACTTTATGCCAGGCTGCTCCAGCTGTTTATACTCGACACTAATTCTACTCGGGCTGTTTGCTGATGGCCAGTGTTGTCCAGTGGTGCTGGGTTCCATAGATCGTGTCTCTGTCACCTCCACATCCAGCTTGCATTGTGATTTCCCTGTCAGAGCTGGACATTCGCCTGGGTGTGCGAGAGCCCAACTAGCGTGCCTAGTACCTCTTCCCTCAACACTGATCCTGCTGTCAGATCTGATCTAACTCTGTTGCCAGTGTGTGAGGCAGACTAGACTGTCCAGCTTGTTCATCTATAGCTCTGTGGGCTGTACAGGGCTCTCGGGAGTCAGACCTTGTTTAAACCAGTAAATCACAGATGCACAGAACTGAGTGAGAAAGGTACTTTTCTGACTGTAACCGCCCTCTAGTGGTCTGTCAAGGTGTTAGGTGCAAGACAGCTGGTCTTGCTCTGCTTGCAGAAGAGTGGTGTAGAGGTGGGAACCTTGCAAGTTTCTGTGTGTTTTCCTTCAGAATTATCTAGGTACCAAAATTATGGTTGTGTTCATGTGGGTTTAAACCCCAGAAAGGGGGGTCAGACGGGTGCACTGTCTGTCGAGGCTGCACGAGAGTGGTGGGGAATTGCCAGCTATTGCTAGATTTGCAGCCCCACTAGGCAGTGTAGGGAATGGCCATACCTATAGTCAATAAGATTTCTCAGCCCCCACTCAGATCCTCTGAAAGGAAACGGCAAAATCATTGTTCCAAATGCATTCCCTTGGCCGCTTGAGGAACCCATTTTGTAAGGGCTTTCTCCAAAGGAACATGGTGAGCAGGAGCAGGATGGTGGCCGAAGTATCATGGAGTGCATTCATTGTTAGTCAGGACCATCCACAGCACCCCTCGATACAGAGAATACACAGTACAGATGAGTTCTGTCTGCAGTGCTCACTCTGCTCCTGTGAGCACAGCCTGCTTCCAGATGGTGTCTCGTCTTTTCTCAGCCCCCTCCCTTGCTGCTAGTCACATCTGCTGAGGGGCTTTCCAGATAATTCTGCATTCCCCTGAAGAAGCCACAGCTCTATTTTAGCAGGGTAAACTCATTTTCCCAAGAGCAGTGTACTGGAAATCAGCAATTCCAAATAGGATCACCCTTGTTAAGGAGAACATGCCACAAAACAGAATCCTATCCCTTGAAGAGCTGCACCAAATGACCACAGACCAGCTTCAGCCAGTATGGCAAGGATGTGGTCTTTTGTGCTAACTTGCCTTTGTGGGTGTGGGATCCACTGTGGATTATTAATCTGGCAAGTAAGCAAATAAGCAAGAGAAACAATCAAATCAAGGAGACTGTCTCATTGCAATATACTCAGATTACTTATTTTCACAAGTCCCTTCGCTTTTAATCCTACAGGGTAATGCTTGGTAGTCTTCTCATGGGCGATGGTGTCACTTTGTTCCAGTCTTCTTGCTGCTAGCCTGGTACTCCATGTGAATGTACTGCGTGTTCCATGGAAATGACTAGATGTTTAATAATATGAGCGCTCATTCAGTGTCGGCTATGACTAGCTAGCTGAGATATGGCAGGAGGCCAGTGAGGTTTTGTGAGGCTGGCTGGGGTTGTGGGTTATTGAAGCACGTCGCTGCCAGATGTTGCTCTGATTGAAGAGCTGCTCAATACAGGTGGGTTTTCAGGAAACCAGGGAGTTGATTGTAGCACTTCTCTGCTGCATTTCTAACCACCCCCCATCTTGGTGCGTGTGGAGGGCTCTTGGTGGCACCCTGACTGTAGTTTCTTCATTTCACTCCATTTCATTCCCATCCTTCTACTGACACAGCATTGTCCTCCCCAACCCCCTTGTTTCATTATAGCCTGAGGGGAGTGAAGAGGCAGCGCTGCTGGCTCAGGCCCCTCAGAATGGAGACGTGACAGCGTCCCAGGCAGGCAGTGAAATGCGGGAGAATGGAGCAGGGCCGACTGCGCCCGCTGTGGGTGGTGGTGACCAAAGGGAAATTCAGAGCTTCGGCACTCAGATACAAGAAACAAGTAAGTGCTCGTGCCTTCCTCTCTTCTCAGCTCAGCAGGGCGGGGAGGGGCGAGCACTCGCAGCAGGGGCGGAGCAGCCTGTGGACGTTGATCTAACGGATTTAAGCTTAAAGTTACATTTTTCTGTCAATATTTTGCCTTATTTTTAATGAAGAAAATTGCCTTTTATTTTCCAGGCATCTAATGATGACATTATGGTATCATCCTCCGCTCCCCTGCCCCCTCTCTCCTCCCCTTCTCCCCATCTCACCTACCCCCTTGTGTCGCTGCAGATTGAATCCCACAAACTGATGTTCCGTGAGAAGGCTAAGGCTCGCACGGACCACGGAGCGGACATCGTCGTCTCCAAATCCCCCAACCTTTCCAGCAGCACTTCCCCCTGGTGTAGCACGTCCGTCAGCGAGAGCCTGGGCTCCATCGCCTCCTCATCACCGCTGCAACAGCCAGCTCCCCATGCAGAAGACCTTTCTGCGGTGCTTTCTCAGCAAGGCTTGTGACTTGTCCCCACCCACCCCGCCTCCCATGTGCTTCCCAGAGTAACTCAGCTTGGATCCCTTAACCCGGCACTTGGCTTTAGGTGGGAAGGGGACAGCATTTTAGCAGGGCTAGCTTCCCTTTCAGTGGTGCTGTCTGTCAACAGGGCAATGTAGTTGTTCGCCCATACAGCCCAGGAATCTGAGGTTCATTTCATTGTGACAGTGGCTCCACCTTCCCCAGTGTGTCTCAGGCTCTGGTGATCCTCTCCTCACCTCCGATCCTCTTGCTCTTAGGAGGACATCAGTGTGAGTCTGAATGACGTGTTTCTTAGGGACAGGCAGCTGGAGAGCTCTAGACTAAACATGTGCTTAAAGCCACTTCTCGTTCTGGGGAGGGCGCCAAGCCTCATTCTGTTGCTGCGTTTGGGCGGAAGTGGTGGGGCTGTGCTGCGAGTGGCCCAAGCCAGGCCGGAGTTAATGGGGATAAGCTGTGATCTTTCTCTTTGTTAACTTTTCCTCCTGCTGCTTCAGTTTCTGCTGTTCCTATTTAATGATTATCTATATTATACACACACATTAGGCTGTTTTAACTGTTGACTTTAACCGTTTCATTTTTTTTTTTGTGACGAAGTGTTGATGATTTATTGTGCTATGACCATGCTAAGTTTCCTTTTCTCTTTCCTTCTTTCCCTAACCATAGGAATAAAGACATTAACCGCTGCTGCAGTGCTGGCTTCTTATCGACATATCCAGCAATTGTAACTGTTGTTTTTCTTTGTGTTGTTTTTTAAAATATTTTTAAATGATGGAGCAAATTCATGTAATTAAGCCATGTCTGAAAGGAAAGGCATAAGAATGTGCTAAAAAAAAAATCTCTTACTGTAACAGTTCAACCAAGCCTTGTATTGACTGCAACAAGCGATGCTAAAGGGATGCTTAGAGAACCTCCTATCGGGGTAAATAACCAAGCCCTAGAGGATGCCCTGGCACCTTTGTAGTTGCTTCTGTTGGATTAACAAAAGGCGCAAAGTATATTTATTAACTTGAATAGCCACAGACAGTTTGTTGATCGTTTTTTTTCTTTGCCATGGTATCAGGCCAGGGTCAGGGTATCAGGTCAGGAAGCTGCTTCAAACAATATGTTGCAGGTTAATGCAGGGTGTGTGTTCTGATGCAAGGGATCCAGTGTGATATGTATTATTTTTAACAAATGTTAAATGTAGGGGTCAACAGATTACCTGGCTAGATGCAATCTGGTGGGAGGCTAGGATGGGGAAGAAGTGAACAGCCGCCTCCCATTCAGGGAGCCAGAGAGGGAGAGCTGAATGTCCGTGAAGGGTTGGGAGGGGCAGAGTAGGCAGGCTTACAATATGAAGGCGGTACAGCCCTGGCTTGTCAAGAGATCACACACCATTGTGGTTTGAGCTCCTTGTTTTATGTTGCGAATGACACTAAAGAAACAAAATGTATATAAAAAAATCTGGTGTTCTTGAGTCATCAAACTAACTTAAAGCAAAAAGCAGAATAACAAAACACAGGGATCAAAGTTAACTGACGACAGACGTCTGCTAAGGGGGCTGGCCAATTTGAAGTATGGGGGGCGGAGAGGAGCCCACAGCTTCCTCTGCTTGTGGGAATATTTCTCTTTGGGAAGCTGACAGTGACACGATAACCCGGAATCTGTATTTACACACAAAGATTCTTATTGCACTTGTATTTTTTATATTAAAGTTTGCATGATTTCTAATAAAATGGCATTAAAATGTAATAGTTTGCATCCAAGTGGTCTGCTAGTCTTGTAAGTGCTTTTTCCACTAAATACGAAATTGAATAAACAATGCAGATTTGCACCTGAAAGGGGCTGTTATATATACCCTGTTCTCTCCATAAAACTCCCTCTGTTCCCCTCTTCCCCATCACTACCACCTTTCCTCTCCAATTCATGCCACACGCATGCTACCCTAGGACCAGGGAGAAGCTGCTGGGCTCATCAAATTCTCCTGCTCTCTTTGCTTGGAAGTTCCAAATAGTTGTTTACATCTTTCAATGCTTGTTTTGAGGGTCCATCCCGAGGGGTTCAGATTCTCGTAACCTTTTTTCTTTCCTGCAATGTTTACCTTGCTCTGGAGAGATGGACGCTGGAGACATAAGGCTGAGGCTGCACAACCAGAGGCAGCCGGGGCAGCACCATATCCAGTAAGCCAGTAATAGCCAAACCATCCATTGAAAGATTGCTCCCTGTGGGGTGGATTAGGAGGTGGCCCCATAGACAGTTGCACTTGCTGTCCTGCTACCTCAGTAAGGGAGGAGAAACCTATTCAATGTCAAGCACCCTCCCAGGGTAAAATGGTTGAATTGTGTTGTGATGCCCTGAAGCACTGTGACAGCCGCTCTGGCTCTGCAGGTGCTGGCTCAGATCTCTATGAACATCAAGAAAGACCCATCCACCTGCATGTACCCCTCCCGGTATATATCACTGCCCCTTCTCTGATGCTTCCTACGTTTTGTTACTAAATTCTAACAAGATCTCTTTAAATCTGTGAATTGGGATTGAGCGGGAAGGGGGTATTTGAACCAGAGAAATGGTTTTAAGAGTCAATCCCCTTAACAGGAAAAGGCACAGACTTTGCTTCGCAAAGCAATAATGGAAGTTTGCTCTGAAATAGGAGACCTGACAGGGCTGCACTGGCTGGCGCATTTCTGCAGTAGGGTAGGTGCACATCACCCAAAGAGAATCTTTCAGTCCTGTGTCTGCAGGTGTGTGGTGCCCCAGCTAAATTCCTGTTTAACACCAGATGCTGGGATTGGTGGTAATCTGAAGTCAGGCTTGGGGCTCCCCTCCAGACCCAGGAGTTGAGAAATGCGCACTAATGAGCGAGGTACCTGTGCGGGAGTAGCTGATAACAGACTCCAGCCACTGCTGTAAAATCCAGCCATGTGCTCCAGATACATATGGCCAACGTTCGTTTGTTTTCTTCTGAATTACTCAGAGAGGTGGAAGCTGAAATACCACGTTCTTTTCACTTCATGCTGCTAGAGACCACAGGGAAGAGTAAAGCCATTGAGGCAGGATGTCTCTGATGGTCCTTTTTACCGATTTCACAGGGTGGCGAGTGTTTAGTGCGGGGGCCATGATAGGAAGACAGGTAGCAACATTGCACTTTATGTTCTGAGATTGCAAAAAAAGAAAGAAAAAAACTTGTTTTGCCAAGAGTTAAGTTTTACCTCCTCCTCATCCCTCTTGATTGCTTTTCTCCAATGAATTGGTCTGCAGCAGAGCGAAGGCCTATCTCTAAATGTGCACAAACCGTCCCAAACTCTCACAGGTTTCAGCTGAACGCTAAGAGCTCTCTGTGCTTCTGTGCCACTTCTCTCTAACATTTATTGTGCCTGTCTTTAGGTGACTTAGACTAGATCCAGATACACCAGTTTGGTTTTGTTAGGACAGCTTCAGTTTTACTAAGAATTTTTGATTTTATTTTAAAGAAATAGCTGTAAGTATTGCTAGCCTGGGAATAGTTGTGTGTGTGTGTGAGTGTGGTTGGTATGGTTCTGGTTTCCTATGTAGAGGGATGGGAGCAAGCGCTGAGTTATGCTGAGACCTGAAAATGAAAGCTGCGCGAAGCGTTACTGTCTATTCTGCAGCAGGTTTGGAAAATCTCGCCGAGAAGCTGAAAATCCCATTAGTCCTGGTCTGCCTTTAAATATTTGGGACATTGACCCACTAATTGAAAACTCATGAGCTGTTGCCCCTCACGGCTCAATGCTGCTTCCATTGCAGTCAACCACTGACTCCAGTGGGAGCAGGATTGGCCCCCGTGTGGGGAAAGGCTTCTGAGCCGTGTTGACTTGCACTGCTTGAAGAAGCCAGAGGCTCTCTTTTCAGCTGCATCTTCTCCAGATGACCCATGTAAAACGGAAGGCTTCTCGTGAGCCAGGCTCCTCTTCCCAGACATTAGGGATGCCAGTTGGGCAGGGTTCAACTGGCAGGATGTAGAATAATGCCAGCGATCTGTGTGTATTCTTGTTAGGGTTGATCCTAGGACTATGTAGTAAATTCCCTTTTGAAAAGTGGTGAATTGAGTCTGAATTAAATGTGGCTTGAATGTAAATGTTCCTGGCCTGAGATGCCCTTGTAGAAACCAAAGGAATTCCCTGGGTTTCAGGTATCTGCAAGAAGCTGGCATGGCTTGGTACAGCCAGGGGACAGGTGGGCTGGGGTTGGCGTTCTTTTCCCTGGTGGCTGTCAGGTTGGGTTTCGTAAGCACATCTGACAGGAAGCTTTAGGCTACAGTGGACTTGACTCACGATGGATGGGGCATAAAAGCAACCTGCTGTTGTGGTCTCAGAGCAGAGCAGCCCCGTGGCAGAGTGTGATGGGCTGGAAATGGGGATCCACCCTGCTAGCAAGAGCAGCTCCATTGCAGCCATGGCAAGGCTAGAGGGGAATGTGTGTCCTAGGGCCATGACAACTCTTACCTTTGGGGGAAAAGGAATCTTTTTCTGGGCTTGTGGTTAAAGCTGGGATTGGCTTTGAGATGTCTGTAATGGCTGATGCGGTGAAAGGCTAAGAGGTGAGGTTAATAGGCTCTTTGGAAAGTGACTCCTGCAGGAGCTTGGAGGTTCCTTTTCTGTGATGACTCTTGGTTCCACCTTCCATACTTGATCTCTCTCACACACCAGCATGTGGCATGGGGGTGCAGGCAGGGCCTCGGTGGGAATGGCTGGCTGCTCAGTGCCTGGGGACTGTTTAGTTGACAGTGAGATACACAGTTCAGTGGGGCTTTAATACTGTAAAACAAAGGATATTCAAACAAACAGGTGGATCAACTCAGGGCCACAACAGCAGGAGGCTGCATGGTCTGGCTGCATTGGCCGTTGCTGTTCCAGGGCTGTGTGTGTTCTGCTGTGCAGCACCTGGCCCCAGAGGCTGGGCTACAGCCTGAATGTGCCTCCTGTTGTCATTCTTGGTCCCTTACTGCTAAGTGAATGTAGTTCTCTGTGCTGATCCTTGCTGTCGTCCCCTGTACACAGAGTAGTGCGTCAGTGTGAATGAGGCTCTAGACTAGAACCATTGTGTGTTTGGTGCCCTCTGAGCAGAATTTTGTTCTCCAACACGAGAACTCAGTGTCTTCCAGATTCTTGAACTGCCAGGATGCCCCATGTTCCACCTCAGGTGACGGAAAGAAAATGCCAAGACCTCTTTAGCTTTTGTTGGACCACTGTGCAAAGGCTCAGTAGGAAGAGTAACTGGTTAGTTGGCTGGAGAAGTGTCATCTTTTTGGGGTGGAAGAAATGTCATTCTGCCCAAGTATATGCAGTGTTGTAGCCGTGTTGGTCCCAGGATATTAGAGAGACAAGGTGGGTGAAGTCACATCTTTTATTGGACCGACTTCTGTTGGTGAGAGAGACAAGCTTTTGAGCTACACAGAGCACAAAAGCTTTGCTCTCACCCACAGAAGTTGGTCCAATAAAAGATGTGACCTCTCCCATCTTGTCACTCCGCCCAAGGGCAGTTTCTGTGTGTGTGGGGGGGGGAATTCACAAGAAGATTCTTCGCTTCCCAGAGGAGTTTGACAAGCAGTAGAAGCCAAGATAAATGTAGAACTATGGAAGAAAGCTGTGGAAAGCATCCTCCACCTTTTGTTGCCCTTTGCCACTGACAATCTAGCTACAATATATATATATTTTCCTTCTCACAAAAGTCTCACTTAATACAGGATGGCATTTAGTGTAAGATCAGTCAAGACTCCTTTATTCCAGCCCTCTGCTGACTTCCCTTTCCGGCATTTGGTATTGCCTGAAGGCTCAGTAATCCCTTAACATAGGTACATGGTGGAAAAGGCATAGAAGGAAAGTAGGAGAGGGGGGTGGACTGAGAGCCAGGTATGCTCTGAGCACAGGGCTAGGAGCAAGGAACACTGGCGTTCTAATCCTGGCTTCGATATTGTCTCCCTCTGTAGTCTTGGGAAATCACTTAACCTCTCGGGCTCAGTTTCCTCATCTGCAAAACGGGGATAATAATAGTAACTTCCCAGTGGAGGTGTGAGGTAGGATTAGTGTGTATAAGATGCTCTCTAAGGGTTAAGTATTAACATTTTTGTGTTGTAGGAATATTATGCAGAGGCTCCTTCCGCGTCACATGAGATGCACCATAATGACTGAGGAGAGCACAGAGCTGTCCAGTTTTGGCAGCGACTGTGCAGCCAACTGTTGCTGTAATGTTGAGTGATACAGATGTTCCTATAATCTAGAGGGTGCTAATGGGAGGGGGGAGATTATTGCATGGATGTAAAGGCTGAGACTCTAGCTACTTGGGAGAGGTGGTAGAATACTAGAGGGGGAGTGCAAACCCCTTGTACTGACGCCAGGGAGTGAATTCGTACTGGTTTACTTCTGCCTTTGTTTCACCCTCCTTGTTGACTGTACAAGACTGGTGTCTCCATTAGCAACATTTCCTGATTTGACGTTGTGATTCTTACTATTGTAAAGGATTGAAATAAAGCTTCTAGATGTTCAACCTTGGCACCAGTGTGAATTTGCATTTCTTTGGGGGCTGATATTTTTCTGGGAAACAAACCGGTTCTTTGGATGGTGGGTTAAATCCTAGGCTGCTGCTGAGTAAATAAGGCACGGGCAGAGGCAGGAGCAGGGTACATGCATTCTCCTGCCGTATTTGCATCTCCAGCTCTATGTGTAGTCAGTCACTCAGCCTCCATATTCCCCTCTTCTCTGGACCAACCTCCACAGTGAATACAATGCAGTTGTGACATGGGGATCTCGCTTAGATCCTAATGCACCCTGTGCACTGATGGTGCTGTATAAATGGCTTAATCTGGGGAGCTCGTTTGACAATGTAACAATCCTCTGCCCTGTGGTGTGCTTGGCTGGGTGGTAGCAGAATGGACTGTCATGTTTCCTTCAGCGTCACTGGTGCTGCTTCTCACCAGGAGTTGCTTCCCCTGTGCTACAGGGAGCAGAGAGGAACTATGTGAGCAGAACAGCAAACTGGAACCTAAGTTGAGTCTTGACTCCCAGCTGTGAACCTGATTCTGTGACTTTTGGCAAGTCACGTACTGTATCTTGACCTCAGTTTCCTGATATGGAAGATGGGGTAAATCTTACTTCCTGTGGATACTGTAATGTTGGCAAAGTTGCTTTGGAGATCTAAAGCTCAGTGACCGGATTTCCAGCCATCATGAGCATCTGCAGCTCTTCCAACTGGGAGCTGTGGGTGTTGAGCACTGCTGCAAATCAGGCTGAGAGGCAGAATTAGAAGAAAGGGGAGGGGCAGAAATTGGGCTGGGCTGTTTTTAGAAACTCAATTATGCACCTTCTGCATCTGGATCCTAAAGCCCTGGAGTGGTGCCCAAATGAAACCTCGCCAGGTCCCCGCATGGAGTTCCTCTTATTTTTGTTCCTTTTATCAAGTCAAGGCCTAGTGTTCTGTGTGGTGGGGAAACAGCTGCTCTCTTCATCCTGCCCTTAACAGCTTCTCTCCTCTTCCTTTTGTGAGTCCCATGCAAGCTGCTGCCTGCCTCTTGGTTTCAAAACCACCTTCTGTCAACTAGCAGGAGGTAGTGCCCCACCACTGTAAGCACAGCTGGCTGGGGCTTGGTCCTTCCTACCTTTGCCTGACCTCATTTGGTCTCTTTTTTTGTTTTGTTTTTTGTGGGGAATATGGAGCCACCAGGGAGTGTTAGTCAGCTTCACTTGCTGAGTAACACTCCCTCAGTGTCACCAACTCCCACAGCAAGCCCTAGATAGTCAAGGCTGGGGTAACACAGGTATGGTGAAAGAACCTGACTGCAGTAAGCTCACCCTCTTCTCTTCCACAAGACAAGCAGCCTCTGAGGTCTAGGATTTGCTCTTCAAGGTGGGTGCAGCTGTAGCCTGGGGAGGCTCAATAGATAGACAAAATGGGTTGCCCACTGAAGACTGACTCAGGTGATAGTGCCTAGGATGGAGAGGGAAGTTGGAGACACCACACTTCACTATAGTGTGTAGGTTTTCAGAAGGCCAAGTAGGGCTGCTAGGTGTCTGTCCTCAGCCTAGCCCTTCTAGCCACCCCTGTCAGTCAGCTTTCTGTACTGTGCAAACATTCTGACTAGGGTCCCTCCTGCAGCTCTTGCATTGTGCATGGTCAAGGATTGCAGGAGACAATCAGGTTAACAGGCTGATATTGCTCGAAGGGATCAGTAAACAGCATAGGTGCAAACTCCTCAGGTCCCTTCCTGGCTGCAGCAAGGCTGTGATAGAAATTGCTTCCTTAAGTCCCTCCTCTGTCCAGCTTGTTTACAGAGCAGGAACACTGTTGTCAACATTTGTGTGCCCCCAAGGAGCAGCCAGTTGGGCCATTAAGTCAGGGCTCAGGTTGCTTGCTCAGTCAGGTACCTACCACTTTGAAAAATGAAGGCCTACAGCAGTTTTCCTCCACCTTGTTCTTAAGCCTCCTATTTTGCAGGTGCAGCTTCTAAATGTTTGAATTAATTACAGAGTTGCTTTTATTCCTCCTCTGCACCTGGACCCCATGAGGTGTGGTGCAACTGAAAATGGTAAAACAATGGGCTGAGGCTGCATGGTCTGCGTGAAAACTAGAAATGAATGAGGAAGACAGGCAAGTGCTGTCACTCATAGAACTTAAGCCCAGAAGGGACTCACCAGATCATCTAGTCTGATGCCCTATGTATCACAGGCCCCTGCACTGGCAGGAAATCAGCTAGGATATACACTGATGAGCCTAGCAAGTGACTCACCCTATGGGGCAGCAGGAACTTTCCACACTGCAAGTGTTTGTTAGTACCTCTACCTGCTGCGCTTGAAATCAGGCTGAGACTACAAGCCACCCCTGAGCTATGTAACCTTTTGGCAGTATGGTACAGGCTCCATTCACACACATGGGCTCAGCAATATGATTTAATGGTAGCTTTGCCTCTTTCCTCCCATTGTCACTGATATAGCACAATAAAAACATTATGGAGCTGGGCACCATATCCTAGCCTGTTTGGCTGCAGTTTGTAGCAAGAGAACAATCTGCTTTGAATACAGGGGTTAATAAAGGACAGAACCGGTTACTACTCTATCCCTTTTTATTGTCTTTAATCTAATGTTGTAAAAAGATCCAGTATCACATAACAGCCACTGAAGTATCCCAATATCACACTAGTTCTGAACCATTTAGACAATAGCTTGGTTTTTTTTTACCTGCTGGAAGGGGAAAAACCATACTGTTTATTGTACAGGCTGAAAAAGTAAAACACTGGTCAAATTATTGTGACAACCTCTCAAGCAAGTGAAATGTAGATGAAAAGTTTTGCATGTCTCCAGGACCACCAGGCTGCCTTGGACAGCCCCTCCCTCAGGTGCAGTTCTGAACAAAGTTACTTGAAGAGAGGCTGAAGCTATAGTAACTTCTCTCTGGAGCTCACTGCCAACAATGACATCTGATCCAGGTCTCCAGTGAGCTTTCCCACCCCTGGGCTTCAGCCCACAGCTAGCGCAGAGTGATTCCATCTCCACTGCACCCAAGGGAGTGCTTCAATTACACTGGCAAGGGGCTGCTTCATGGCTTTGCTTCAGTTATAGCCCAGTGCAAGCACTGAAGGCAATGACAGGCTAGTTTTTGCTCCTGTAGTTATTTCCCACCAGGAAAGTTGCTGGCTCCTGGGTGGGAGGATGGAGCTCCTAGTGGCTTATTACCAGCCCAATTAGAAGTGTAACAGGATCCAGTTACAGTACTGTGCCCTGTACATAAACTAGACTCTGGGCCATTACACACATGCCTCTGCCAGCTGCAATTAGGGTAATGTTAGTCTCTTTTTAGTTACAAAGAGCAGTAGAAATAAAAATAAATTGCAAGTCCAGTGACCACCTTTCATTTCCCTGGTGGGTAAATCAGCAGCAGTACTAGAAAGCAGATTCCTGCAATGTTAGGATACAGGACTTTCACTAGCATAACAGACATCACCTGCAAAACCACTGTCAGATACCAGCTCCGCTGCAGCACTCTCCAGCTACCCGTCTCACACACTTTACAGACATGAGTGAATTTATCCTCACAACAGCCCTGTGAGGTAGGTTGCTATCTTCATCGACAGACAGGGGACTGAGACAGAGCTGGGATGAGAGCTCGTGCCTCAGAACATTGTGCGTTAGTCACAGAACCCTGCTTCTGTGCTACCCTGGTCCCAGATCATAGAAAAACAGGGATTAGCATTACTCAAGGAGACGGGCTACCAAAATGAGTGGCATCTGCAATTGCTTTATGGGTTGTACAGGTTACAGGGAGCTGGCCTCCTTGACAGATGGAGAACAAGAAATTTAAAAAAATAAAACGCAAAAAAGGACAAAAATACAGGCAGATAGAAACTACACGACATCTCACACTCCTAATGCCAACACAGCTTGATTTGTGCAGCAGGAAACCGCTTCTAGCCGCTACAGGCTCAGAGATGCCCTCTGCATGGAATGTTGGGTCCAGCCCCTTCCAGGGCTCGCTCTCCCTCCTGCCTCTTCAGACTGGGCTCAGCAAGTGGAAAGTTAAGACGACAAACCACCACCCTGCAGCAAAGCTGCCAGCTCTGCTCTGGCTGGCCTCGACCCTCAGTGCAGGCACAGCCATGAGCTGAAAGTCCATCTTCTGCCTATGCTGAGAGCTGCTCTGGGCATGACCCGCAGGGTGAAGGCAACGGAAGGGTTGCAGGAGTCAGCCATGTCGATTCCTTTCCAGTTCAGGGGCTACGACGACCTTTGGAACAGAGGAAGTGGCTTTCCATTGAACTCTGGGGCGTCAGCACTTCCAGTCCATTCTCTGTGCCTCAGCGGCGGCCGACGCCAGGGCGGTGCTGGTTCCTCCTACACGATGACCATGCCCGGAGCCAACAGCAGGAGATTCTGACAACACTGATCTTCTAGGATGGAGAGAGATGACTTCACAAGGGATAAATAGAACTTTATTTAAATAAACATTTGTGAACATCTTTATACAAATTACAAGTCCCCACGCTCAATCCTCCACCTCTATCTAGGCACCAAAGCTGCCAGGAGGTCCCTTGAGCAGATCCACCAAGATGTCAAGCAGCTGGCTGTGTTGATGGTGCAGGTCCCCCGGGATAGCAGACATTTCATAACACAGGCAGGTTTCCACCATCTTGGAGAGTGACACACGGAAATCACGCAAGAGGCGGATTGTGTACGAGTCTCCTTCCAGCACCAGAAGGTCACTGTCAGTCAGAGAGACTGTTGCCCGCCAGCCATCATCTTGGGGGAAAAGAAAGGAGCAGTTGAGTGGAGTTAAGCAGCAGGATGGAGCTGACTGGGCCCAGCATGTCAAAATGCACTTCAGCCTTTCCCCTGCCGCTGCAGCAGGAGGGATTGGTGCAGACCCACCCCCTGCCCTCAGTTTGCCAAAGTCTGAGATCCCCTCTGCAAGCCGTGCTCACCTGCCAGAGCGCTCAGGCTCCTCCACACATTTCCCACAGGAGCAGCTCGAGGTCTGTGCACACACGAAAGGAAGACAGGGAGAA